CCCAAGGCTTCTCAGATGGATAGGAATAGAACTGGATTCAGAGTCATACCTTTCCATAGCCACTTGTGGAGAGAAGGCAGAAGCAGTATGGACCCAGGACCAAGGGTACCCTCACCATTGGAAGCATCTTTGACGGGGCCATGAGAAAATAATAGTATTTTTAGTGATGGTCATAGCAGATTTCCATCTGTGGCTCATTGTGTTTGATCTCCACACAGCACAGGTGGAGGTGATATGGTTAGGGTGTGGGGTCAATGTGGGGCCGTGCTGACAGGCCGGGTTGGCAAGTTTGAGAGTTGGCTTGAAGCATAGAATGGTCGGATTGTTCAGGAACCAAATGCCAAGTTTGGGGGCTGAGACTATTAGGCAGACAGTGAAAAATCGTGATAGGTTTATTCTTTATATTTTTATGGTTACATAGTAGATATTTATATTTATAGGGTACATGAGCTATTTTGATATAGGCAGACTGTGTAATAACTAATTACAAATGGAGTAAATGGGGTATCCATCACCTCAAACATTGATCATTTCTTTGTGTTGCATGCATTCCAGTTATACTTTTAGTTATTTTTAAATGTACAATACATTATTGTTAACTATAATCACCCTATTGTGCTATCACATACTAGCATTTGGTTCTTATTCATTCTAACTATATTTAATATTTTTACTATATTTAGTTAGATAAAATATAGTCAGTCCCCTGCCCATTGGTTATTCATTAACCATCCCCAACCCTTCTCAGCCTCTGGTAACCATCATTTTACTCTCTTCACAAGTTCAATTGTTTTGATTTTTAGCTCCCCCAGAAATGAGTGAGAACATGAGAAGTTTGTCTTTCTGTGCTTGGCTTATTTCACTTAACATAATGACCTCCAGTTCATCCATATTATTGCAGATGACAAGATCTCATTTTTTTATGGTTGAATAGTACCCCATTGTGTATGTGTACTACATTTTCTTTATCCATTCATCTGTTGATGGGCACTTAGGTTGCTTCCAAATCTTGACTGTTGTGAACAGTGCTGCACTAAACATGAGAGTGCAGATATCCCTTCAGTATACTGATTTCCTTTCTTTTGGGTATATACCTAGCAGTGAAATTGCTGAATCATAAGGAAACTCTATTTTTAGTTTTTGAGTTGTGGGTTTTTTAACTGGCAAGTGGTAGGGTTGGAAACTGTGTGCAGGAAGGGAGTAAGACAGGAGGGAGATCTGGTAGTGGCTAGATGGGCCTTCATTAGGGTTGTAGAAGTGAAACCAGAGAGAACTGGCCTCTAAAGATACTGTTGAATTCCTCATTACCACTCAGTCTTCTGGCAGTTGGAAAGATCCTTGATTGGGCCATGAGAAGAGAAGAGTATTTTTAGTCATGATCATCTCTGACTTCCATTTGTGGCTCCTTCTGTTTCATCTCTACACAGCACAGAAGTGAATGTGGGTATTAGTAAATGTCGAGGTCGTGTTCTTTTTTTACTTTATCGACGCATTAGATACTGTTCAGATTCTCAGTCCTTATTTTGTTGCATGTCCATCATGGCTGTGTGCCTACAGCCTAAAAAAGTGGCCGAGGAAATGTTGATTGTAAGGCCTCAAATCCACAGGACATCAGGGCCTTAAACTGTCTGTTTCTTGGCCTCCAAGTAAGCAGTGATGACATTCAATACTAACAAATCATAAATTCCTTTTCTGGGACAATTGACCATTTCAAATGAAAAGACGTGGCTTGCAAAACTAAGGTACTGGTTAAGCTAAGGACACTTGTTTAAAATATTCTCATTTAGCTTTCCCACATTGTTAGGAACCCAGAGACATTTCCTGTTCATGGTTGTGTTTGTGTCGGTGTCTCCATGTTTGCTTCTCTGGAGAAGTCCCAGGCAGCTCACATGTCCAGTCACTGCAGATGAGTGTTCTGCCATGGCAGGAGAGACCAGCGGGGGTAGGGAGGATATTCTTAGGAATGAAACTAGGAGGAGGAAGTGAATCCAGATTAGGGTGAGTGTGACAGTTTGTAGCTGGGAGAGCCCCCATAGGTCATTAGCATTGACGGGGCCTGCTAGAGTCATTTAGGCCAGTGTGTTCAGGCAGAGCCTGTCCCTGGTAGAAGGAAGGAAGGCCCTGTAGCAGGGAATCTAGGGCCCCTCCACCCCTTTTTCAGCCAGAATTATTCTCCTTTGATCAGTTGTACATATTAGGGTTCCATGGAAGTGCTATTTTTTGAAATAAAGTAATTATTGGCTGGACACAGTGGCTTATGCCTATAATCCCAACACTTTGGGAGGCCAAGATGGGTGGATCACTTGATGCCATGAGTTCAAGAACAGCCTGGCCAACATGGCAAAACCCTGTCTCTAGTAAAAATAAAAAATAAATTATTCTGGCATGGTGGTGCATGCCTGTAATCCCAGCTACTGGAGAAGCTGAGGCATGAGAATTATATGAACCTGGGAGGCGGAGGTTGCAGTGAGTGGAGATTGCACCACTGCAGTCCAGTCTGGGTGACAGAGTAAGACTCTGTCTCCAAAAAAAAAAAAAGACTTATTAATTTAAAAAATTAGTATCTGGCTATTCTTTCATGGTACAAAGGAACTTAAGTCCTGGAGTAGGAATGTGCATTATCTGAGCCTGAGTTGTTGGTGAATGGCTTGGAATGCCTTTTAAAAACACGCACACACATTATCTGGTCACAGACATGCCTTTTTGAGCCCTATTCCAGACAGGAGTGGAGTTGTCAGGAGTCATGGACCCTCACTTACGTTTCTGTTTCTGACGCTTTGGTGTCAGCAGTAATCAAAAATGGTTGAGGATGTCTAGCCTTTGAAGCAGACTCGGTTCCCATTTGGACCCCAATGGATGTCAACTGAGGTGTCTACCTCTCACTGCCTGGGACATTTGAAGCAGTTTTTTTTAGCCCTTGCAGGTCTCTTGCTTGGCCATGAGATTTGGTGATTCACCTGGCCAGCTGCATAAAATAGCCCAAAGGGTCAGTGTCCCAGCTCCTTTTCAGCGCCACAGGCTACCTGACAGTATATAAATTAGTCATCTTCTGGAGGTAGCCGAGCTGGTTGGATCATTGGACACCAGGAGAGCATGTTGGAGTTAGCTCAGCCAGAGTCCGTGTCATTACTTTGCCACGTATAACTGTAAGACCCTGGACAAGTTACTTATCCACTTTGGCCTGTTTCCTTATTGATAAATTGGGAGAATTTCATAATATTGTGTGTAAAATAAACTTGGTGTTAGAATTTGATTTTTCAGCATTTATACCAACTGCCCTCTACGAGGACCTTATTAATTGCCCTGAAAAGTACTGGTTATACCTGCAAAAGGAGAGTCTTGAGTCACTGGTGGAAAGTGTCTGAGGTCTCCACAAAATGAAATGAGCTACCCATTGAGCAGCCAGGATACTTCCTAGGAGTGGTAGTCTCATCGTGAAGAAGAACCACCCAATAATGAGAGCTGTCCAGTCAGAGATGATCTGGTGAGATAATAAAGCTGATGAAAATATTTATATAACTTATACTTGATAAAGAACTTTGGCAACTCCTCCTTTATTGGTTTCTTACCACACTCCTGTGAGAGAGGCATGGGCAGTATCAGTATTATTCTGGTTTTATATAGGGTAAATCCAAGGCCCAAAGAATTGTAGCTTGTCAGTGATCACAAAGTAAGTGGCAGATCTGGGACTTAAAACTGGGTTATTTAACGACTTGAATATTTTGTGTTTCGTGTTATTATGATTCTGCCAAGAAGCTGCTATCACCAGAGGTCTCAGGCAGAGGCTGGTCAGAAGTACTGCAGAAGGCATTCCAGATGCGCTTAGGTGATTGTTGTGTGATTTGGGGGACCATAGGATTCACTCAGACACCTCCCTAACTCATCAGTCTCCCTCATTTGACTTTTGTCACCGCATTTCTTTGAGACAAGCCCTGGACTGTCTTCTCTTCGAGACAGAGATAACTGTATGAAGAGTGATATATTCGTCCCAGAGCACCTTTGTGCGAATGCATGTATTGGATCACTCTTCTTCCTGATAAAAGCTGAGGCAAAAGAGGTTCATTCAGCAAACCTTATTCGAATAATTCTTTTTTGTCAAGTGCTGTGCCAGGCATTGGGAATACAGGAATTAACTTCACATGTTCCTGTCCTCAAGGAACTCTTAAATTTATAGGGGAGGCAAACAGAATTCCAGATGCCATACATGTGGCAGCCAAGGAGAGAGCAGCACACCGCCCTGGGGTAAGCTCAGCCCCCTGGAGAGGGAGTGGCGAGGGAGCAGCGTGTGGGCAGCAGCTCATGTTAGGGAGCACCGAATGGGCTCAGCTAGCTGGTTCATGGGCCCAAGAAGGGAGGTCCTGACACATTTTGGGAACTGTGAATGTCTGGCTGAATTTTGGGGTTTGTGAAGAGTTTTAGTGGAAGAGAGAATTGGAGAAATAAGACTTGGTATGTCAGGGTGACGCATAAAAAACTTTATATCTTGGGCACTGAGGAATTAGTAATGCGGGGTTAAATAGGGGCATCAAAATCACATTAGTAACTGGTCTTCCTTCTTCCACCCCTTCTCTAAAAATCAGCTAGAGCAATTTTTCTAATGCCAGAGGCTGAGTGAGGGATGCTGAGGGCACACTCAGGTCGCGTGAGTGGGCGAGGGGGAAGGGGCAGCTTCAGGCCACTTTTTCCAGGTCGATCACAGTTAGTGATTGATGATGCTGTGGTGCGAGGGAGAGAAAAAAAGTCAAGAGTGACTCACAAGTTTTTATTTGAGATCTATCTTGCTTATTTCATAAAGAGTTGCAACGTGAATGCTGAAGATTTTTCTTCACGGCAAGTTTCAGAATACAGCCTCAGCTGCTCATTTGCCAAATCTTGCCAGCCTGATAAACATTTCTCTTTTGGGGGCTAGCATTCATTTCCTTTTTCTTCTCTTCTGAAATGATTATAGCAATTTTTGTACTTCAGGGAATTGGTGAGAGCCTGGTATATTATATGCTCAATAAATAAATAATCAAATGAGATCACTAATCAGGGGTGATATGCAAAGTCACATTGGTCATGGTAAAGTGTTGGACATAAAATGCGACTTTTGTGATTCTGAAGCAGCTTATGCATTTGTGCTCAAATAGTGTTTGGAAGAGGAATGGTAAAATGCAGAATTCTGCAGAATTTTTCAGTACTTACGTTCATGTATAATGTTGGTCATGCCTGATCTTATAGCAGCAGCAGCCACAGGAAGATGAGGTAATTAGGCAGATCACAGCGGAACAGGTTGCATTCTCATTCCTTTCAACCTTCCTTCTTCCTCCCCAACCTGCACAGTTCTGGTAGGGGGTGGGATGGGTTATATGCTTTACCCAGGATCCCAAGCGTGCCCTGGGTTCGACTTCTTTCTCTAGACTAATCCAGTTCCCAGCCTGGAGCCTAAGCATACACTGCATTAATCAGACTTGCTGGAATGATCACATGGTTTTCTAGCTGCCTCCCCTGTTAGCTGCCGCTTGTCAGCAGCTGGCGGAGCTGGAGGCTGCAGGCCCCTGTCTGCAGAAAGCCTTTTACTTCAGAATATTGGGGGGTGTGGAAACCCCGCCGCTTTCTTCTGCACTTTGCACCATCTGACTAACTAAATGGTTGTCCTTCACACCAAAAAGACTACCACACAATCTAAGGAAATTTTCTCTGACTAGGTCATGTTTGCATTTGAAGAATTCAGGTATGTTCTGGGCTTTCTGCATCAGTCTGCTGCTGGCTTTTTGTTCTCGCTAGGTTTTTGCTGTGTAATGACAGCTTAGGCTCTGACTGGTTCTCACAAAAAAAAAAAACAAAAATAAACAGGGTTCTCTTCAGCATGTGGTAGGGTTTATCCCGGTCTTGGGGGTGGGAGGTACAGAGGTGTTGCAGGTCAGGGGTGTTTACTGTATGCAGAAGTGCAGCGTGGATAATTGGTCTGATCGTGTGTAAATTTGTCCAGGACCCCACCTTGTGCCTTATTTGAGCTGCTGTTGCTGGTGTAGAGTTATGAATACAAATAGCAACTGTGTATCCAGAATGAGTCTCTTGCTCTCTTTTGTTTTTCTTCCTTTGTCAACTCATGCAGTCTACTGCTCTTTTTAAAAAATGCTAATTTTTAGCAGTGAAGGTGAAAAATTCTGCAAGTCTGTCTGCATAGTTGAGATTTGATTTTGGCTCTGCTCGTCTTCCTTATTTTTAGCAGTAATCTCATGGCTGGGCTGTTTTCTGGGAAGTGCCCTTACAGTGTTTTGTTAACAGGGTCCTTTGCTTTAGTATGCTTTTCAGCTGCTGTAATTATTAGTGCTCCAAATGAGATATTTGGTGAATCTTACCCCTTTTCTCTTCTCCATCTCTTCTCCAGGAATCTATCCCTGGATATAAATGTGGGAAGGGATGTTCCAATAGAAAGAGTTTCTAAGAAACGAAAATAAAGGAGGCAGAATGGGAGGGTCGTCAGATTCTTCTTGTGCATATTTCCATCTCTCTGGAACATATGGAAGAGTGTATGTCTGTGTGTGTGTGCGTTTCTGACCTCTGAAAGCTTCTCATTTTTCAAATGCAATTTTTGTGCATTTTAGAACTGAGCATAAATTCCATATTGATGGTCAAAGAGTGATTGGGAACCCGTTTTACCTATACAGGTCTTTTTTGTTCCTCCAAATGTTGCTGGAATAGACACTAAAACAATAAGAATAACCACCTTTCATTATTCTAAGAGAAAACTACAGACCTGTTAGCCAGTCGAGGGAGTAGATAAGAGGATCATTAGATCTTCACAAAGAAGAGTCGGACCATAAAGGTTGTCCCCTGCCCTTTTCAACAAACTTGATGCTTTGGATTCAGGAAGTTATCCTTTGTTTAACCGTGTTTCTCTGCATTGTTTCTAATGGCCTGGGTTTGTGACAAAGAAATTCTTCCTCTGTGGTAGCGTGCTCTGGTGACATGGGCCCGTGCCCTTACAGAGTGACCAGAACTTTTATAATAGCTCCATTAGATGACTAAGAAGAATTTATTTAATGTCTGGCATGTTACAGTAGATAGGCCCTTAGGGAATAAATCCGGAGTCCTGGGTTCTAGTGTCTGTTTCAAAAGTAGCTTTTGTGATACTTGTGAGAGTTGTGGAAGCGTTCTGTAATTTGTAGAAAGTAGCCCAATTGCAAGGTTCACATGTTATTGTTAGCATTTATTCTAGATGAAGTAAGCCTTATCTACCCTCTTAAACAGAGCTTGGGGCCTCTCATTATATTTCATGGCTAGGGAGGAGGGTAATATATCAACAAATCCACTACTATTGTGGTGGGCTTCTAATCCAAGAGCCAAGAGCTGGGTCTGATGTGGTGGGAGGGGGTTGAATTTGAAGACCATTGCACTGATTGAGAAAAAGGGGCCATCATTATGGAGGGTAGACCACAAAAGGGAGGCCTGTTATCTCCTACTTCAAGCTTCTCCCTAAGCTGACCCTGAAAAATTGCTGCTGTATGATGCCAGGCAAATGGCTTTCTTCTCTAGGTTGTGTATGTGGGGCCTGGTGATCATGGTGGGGCAACACAGGGACTATGGAGGTACCTAGCTTTTTAGCTTAGTTCAGGGCGATTCTCTAGCTTTAGCATGCGGCGGATTCCCTGGAAAGCTCATTAAAACTCAGATTGCTGGAACCCACTTCCAGAATTTCTGATCCAGTAGATCTGGGGTGAGGCCTGAGAATCTAACAAGTTCCCAGGTGAGTCTGATGCTGCAGGCCTGGGGATTAGACTTTGCAAACCATTGGCTTAGGAAAAGCAGAAGGTTGACCTTCATGGAGATGTGATGTTTGAGGCAAAGCCAGGGTGGAGGTATGGGTAAGAACAATAGCGAGCAGAAAGAAGCAGTTTGGTGACAGGTAGGCGAACCACCTGTCACCTGAGGAGGTCTTGCAGAGCAGTAGGATTATAAACCAAGTTCTGTGATTCTCATCCCTAAGAAATGTTGGGATGAGAATCAGAGCACTTGGTTAATAATCCTGGCGCTGCCATGAACTAACTTGGTGGGCTTGGCAACTCTTTTGATCTTTCTTAGTGTCAACTGAAAATGGGGAGAGTGATTCTCACCAAGAAACTCCGTAACACTGTTAAAATAAAATGGGATGATATAAACTTTATAAATCACAGCAGTTCTTCCTACATGAATATAAAGGGGCACATCCTGGGGCCGACTTCATCAGGTTATCCACAGGCGCCTGTAGGCCTCATGTGTGGACACGCTCCTCCACACATACCCCAGCTCTGAGAGCACAAGAGCCACACTTTTTTTTTTTTTTTTTTTTAAGACAGATTCTCACTCTGTTGCCCAGTACAGTGGCACAATCTCGGCTCACTACAACCTGTGCCTCCTGGGTTCAAGCTATTCTCCTGCCTCAACCTCCCAAGTGGCTGGGATTCCAGGTGTGCACCACCACATCCAGCTAATTTTTTCTTTTTTTGTATTTTTATAGAGATAGGGTTTTACCATGTTGGCCAGTTTGTTCTTGAACTCCTGACCAACAGGTGATCCACCTGCCTCAGCTTCCCAGATTGCTGGGATTACAGGTATGAGCCACCACGCCTGGCCAGCCACATTCATTTTTTAATAGGAAGTCTGATTTTGGCTCAAACAAATTTACATGCCATTACTACTTAATTGGGCTATGAATTCCATGAGAGCAGAATTCATAAAAGCAACAGAATCCTGTCTGTTTTAACTTTGTTTCCTTGGTGCCTATAACTGCCTTACACAGTAAGACCTTAATAAGCAGTTGGCGCAGTGCATTTTAACCAGGACTTAACAAGGAAAAGCAAGCAAGCTAGCTAGCTAGCTCAGTGCAGTCCTGAGGTCAGTGCCATGGTGCTACCTGGGCCGTTGTATGTGCTAGTTCAGGAGAACATGTGGAATAGCTGATAACTGACCTCCTGAGAAAAACGTGATGTCCTCAGTACACTCCAGTTGCTGGAGTGCCGGAGAACTCATCACGTTTCATTAGGGAATCTCTGCAGATGATCCCATTCCAGAGCGCACTGATGGTTGCCATGATTTGTTGCTACCTGGAAAATAGCTTGAACCCAGGAGGCAGAGGTTGTAGTGAGCCAAGATTGTGCCACTGCACTCCAGCCTGGGCGATAGAGCAAGAATCTCTCTTAAGCCTAGAGAGGAATAGGAGCTTGAGAAGTCGGGACAGTGTTTTACAGCTGCCAAAGGGATTTTTGCCTGTCATGGCCTACAAGACTGTTGTTCTACCACCAGGCAAGCTGTTCTGTCTGGCTGTTAAGGGTAGACACAGGTCATTTGTCCTTTTGCCTTTTTATTTTTTATTTTTTTGAGACAGAGTCTCACTTTGTTGCCTAGGCTGGAGTACAATAGTGTGATCTTGGCTCACTGCAACCTCTGCCTCCCAGGTTCAGGCAATTCTCCTGCCCCAGCCTCCTGAGCAGCTGGGATTACAGGTGCCCACCGCTACACCTGGCTAATTTTTGTATTTTTGTAGAGACAGAGTTTCACCAGGTTGGCCAGGCTGGTGTTGAATTCCTGACCTCAAGTAATCCACCTGCCTCAGCCTCCCAAAGTACTGGGATTGCAGGCATGAGCCACCGCACCAGCTTCCTTTTGTCTTTTAAAAAAAAAAACTTTTTAGGCTTCCTTTCTTCCTTACTGAACTGAAAGTTTCAAGTAGGCATTTACCTGTTCCTACACGCTGCAGGGACTGTCCTCTTGAGCATTTTGTGAAATACCTTGTAGTTTTCCTTCTACCTCTGGACCCAGAACACTGCCTACGTTTTCTCACCACCCTAGAATGAGGAGTTTTAAATGTGACTTTTTCCCTCGTAATCCATCAAGTGAGAATGGAGTCCAAATCAGAGACCTTTGTTTCTCAGAACTCCTGCCTGGTATTTGACTTATTCTGATTTATTTCCAGAAGGAATATAGTGTACCAAGATCTAAAATCCACAATTGCTATTTGTTAGTCACGTGAAAATGGAAGTTACTATTTTGAGTCTGTTTTATTTTTAAACAAAAACATCATGGAAGGGTTTGAAGTCCAAACTCTAACCAGCTTTCTTAATTCAAATTTATATCTAGTCTTGGGAAATGTTATGATTTTTCTTGCTCTTTTACTGGAATATTGATAGGAGTTAAAATGAGTGGTATTGAGGAAGACCTGAAGTTTGCGAGGCTCTAGAACCATCCAAGTGTCAAGATCCCAAGCCAGCTTAGTCCCTCTCATTTTCCAGGTTCCTGTAGGACCTTGACAAAACAGATGTTTGGTACATTGAACTGAGCTGAAGAAATAAGTCTCAGATGAACAGGAGGTAGATACTGGGCCAGGCAGGGAAGGGGAGGGAAAATACACTTGATCATTGAGTACTTACTCTGTGCCAATCACAGCTGGTTGCTTTGCCCAAGGTAACTTTAACTCACATAACTGGGCTCTCTCCTCCACACCACTCTGGGCACGCAGGCCATGTGCTGTTCCGGGACCATGTCTTTTTTGCTCTTCCCAACCTCTTAACTGGCTGTGTCTCTGCCTGGATTCCCCTGCCCCAGGCAGCCATGTGGCTTACTGAAGATGAAAGCACAGTCCACTCCAGAACTTGCCCTAAACTCTGGGCCCATATATCCATCTGCTTATTTGATCTTACTACCAGAAACCTAATTAGGCATCTCAAACATGTCTAACATGGTTCTCCAGCT